TTATTGTTGATTTTGACAATGACACCTTTCCACTACATTTATTACGCCTCTTCTTCCACGATAAACAAGGTTAAAATTATATTTACCATTTTTTGGAATTCTTGCATTAAAGTATTTTTTTTGATCCTGTTAGTAAGTATAACCGCCACGTTTTGTATAATGATCATTAATCAGCACAAATACTTCCATGACGAGGAACCGATTTATTTTGCCTAGATAGAATCTTCGACAAATAAATCTTCAAGGAGTGCATGAGGCAAACCTTCCTGAAGGTCAAATAAAGAGATTTATTTTTTATTTGTACTATTTTTTTTTTTTTTTTTTTTTTTAAATAATTCAACTTTTGAGCAAAGTTAAATCTTTTTTCAATTTTTGTTGTACATTTTTTTTTTTTTTTTAAAAACAATTTTAAAATGCTACCATCTTTATGAAATTATTTTTATTAAAAAAATAATTCATCGTGATTATTTTACATTTAATCGGGCATATCTTCAAAGGTTCATGACAACTTTCAAGAATAATCGACCTCTTGACAGGATCGACAAAAGCGGATTGTTTTCTAAGGATCAAAACTCTTGCAATGGGATCGAATTTCAGTCGTATGTTTTTTCCAAGGTTTGAGAAATCTTTTCAAGTCCTAAGAACGGTCACTTTTCTAACGCTACGCCATAAGAGCAAGGTTATAACAATAATTTGAGTATATATCTAAAAATATATATAAGTACCTATTTATTTTAATTAAACATCATATCAATCACATGACAACGTATAATTTTTGAAATTATAGTTGTTTCAATTTCTAGTTATGAAGTACTCATTTTTTTTTTTATCGGATCCATCCTCTTTATTTCGTTCTTGTTTATATACATCAAAAATAATTAGATACATGTTTCAAAATTCAAAAACTTAAAATCTTCAAATACAAAAGAAGGGAAAATTGTTGAACGAGCAAATTATAAACATGATTATTATTTTGCAGGCTTATGTGTGTTATCATGTAAATATAATCATATAGAATAAAACATTTAGAATCTTTTTCCGTATGTGCAAATATGAAATTAAATTATGGAACCTTTTCCTTGTAATGAGCAGTGTTATAAAATATTGGAATATGCTCTTCAAAAGGATTTTGCGTTATTGTGTAAAGTTCATAAATTTGTTAGATTATTAGAAAATAGATTCATAAATACATAATTTATAAAATAAATTTTTTATTAATCGTCTATTAATCTAATTCTTTCATAACTTTCATAAAATATAAAACAAAAAAATTCAGATCACGTTATTTATATGTTATTTACGGACGGATGACGTAATGATGATTGTCGATGATTGTTCTTTTTTTTTTGAAAATAAATACTCATCGATTTGCGGCGTATGAAACTATTATTTGTTTACATTATGCGGCTTAAAAGCCGCGATATGTTTCAATTTTTAACCACCCTCTCCACACCCTAAATCGTATCTGCGACTGATTTTAATGATATTTCAGATGTTTATATAACCTGATCCATCGGAGTAATTTTCTAAAAGGAACTTTTTACCGAAAAATCTTCTGAAGGCATATTTACGTTTATAAACTATGTTACTCAATTCACTCAAATTAAGTTACTCAAAAATCTGATAAATCTAATCAAAAATAAGACACGTGATGAAAAATTTGCTGCGCCGCATGTAGTCACATCGGTTTGTAACATTTTTGCGTAAATAATTATTATTAAAGCCATTATCAGGACTTTACTTTTACATATTTTTTTACCGCGTTTGGTAACCCTAGAAAATTGGTATCTTGATAAAATTATTGATTTAATTTTTTAATTGCTTAATCGTAATTTTAATTGAATTATAAAATTGGTCACGAGTAAATCAAATCATATGCTCCGTGAATTTAATAACTAGCCTCTCGTTATAAAATAACCTTCAAGCGTAATTGTTTTACAGATGAATGTTATTTAATTTAAATTTATTTGAAACATTTAATAAATTTTTTCAATCAAAATACTAATAATCATTGTTTTCCTCAGTGTTTCGGCAATACAGACAGAAACCGTCATTAATTGATTTTTTTTACTTATTTAAAACTATTATACAAACAAAAAAGGAAGTAATTCTCGTTTGATTTTATCAAGATTTCGATCGGTTTAAGGGCTTCGGAACGGCGAATGACCGACTTTTTAATGACCGCGACCATTTAACTGGTTCTTCGATGATCGAACATTTGGCCAACTCAGAATTAATTTTAAATGTATACGAGAAAATTGTATAATTTTTTTTAAAGAAAAATAAAAAATGCATCAGAAGGAACGATAAAATTATTGAACAAAATTACTGTGCTTCATCATCATTATTATTTACACGATTTATGTTCAACTTTTCATTTTGATATACAAGTTATAAATATTAGTTTGTAAATTTGATATTTAAGTTTGTCAAGATCAATCGTTGCAAATATCCTTAAGAAATAAATTAACTTAGTAATAGGTTTGTTACCTCAGAGGAGAAATTACAGCTTGACACAAGTATGAGATAATATCTGCTAAAAGAAAAAATTGAAACGGCAAGATTGAATTTAAATAATTTAAATGCATTAATCAGGATAATAGAATAATTAATGTATATGTTAAATCAAAATATCTACTATGTTGTTGTTTTCTAGTCGCTAAACTATTTAATTCATAACCCAAACTTGAACTAAGAACTGGTTATGTTTAATATGTCATTTTCCTACAAGAAATGACGCTTCCGACGACAGATAAAATCATAATGAATTCAAGGCCATTAAGTATTAACATAACTAATTGTATTGTAAATAGTGTTTTTGTCTGTTTATTTGTATATAATTAATCGCTGAATTCGGGTTCGACTTATTATTTTCATATCTTTGTCCTACAAAAATACAATTAAAAGAAAAGAAAGAAAATATTAAATTAAATAGAAAATAAAATAATAAAATAATAAAATAACCAACTCATAATGAATTCGAAAAAATAAAACAGTCAATAAAAAAATTGTAAACTTATTTCTTATGCAAAGTTGTCAATTTCTAAAAAATAAAATAAAAATAAATACGCCTCTCGCAAGCTTAAAGGAGGATCTTTGTGAAAAATTTTTTTGATAATTCAATTATTAAATGAATTTATAATATTGTAATTGATAATTTAACTAGAAATAAGAAAATGTGTTTTTGGCTTATAATAATGCTTAAAAAAGAAAATGAGTGACCAACTAAAACTAAAACTAAAACTAAGAGAGTGATTTTGAAGACCGGTAGAAAATGTCCCTTTCATTATATATGAGTAAAGTTTAATGTTCTTACAAATATATTTTTTTTCTAAAGTTATCGATAATCCCCATTATCTTTTAATATTACGCCAAATTGTCAATTAATTCTATTCTTTGTAATAAGAAAATCTCGAAAGAATTCAAAAATGCTAGGATTCTAATTGAAAATCAACAAGGATATTCGATGCAATTTTCCCAAAGAATTTTGAATTTTAACCGGAATCTTTAGATTTATTATAAATGTTCATGAATTATTCAAATTCCAAGTTCATTATAATATAAGATGGAACATACGATTACAAATAATGAAAATTCCTTTGACCCAACTACACAATAAAATCTAGTCCTGTGCCAATTACGTTTATTCCTTTTAAGCAATTATTATAGATATAAATGTCCTTGCGGAAATGAATATTCTTTAACAGTTTATTTTTCCAAAGATATTGTAAAAGTTGCTTTTCAAGTATATTAGTTATCTAACTGATAATAATACGTCGATTTAAATGCAATGAACATAAAGCTAGGAATACAAAATTTTGTACCCAAGTCATTGTGAAAATTGCTCTGGTATTTAAATTTTAAACAAATATATACATACAGGGTATAATTTAAGAGGCGCTAATGATAGCAAAATAGATTTATAGTTTCTACTTCTATTGATACATCGCTTATAGGCAACATTCATGTTGATTAGTTTATTAACAAACATTATTAAATTATGTTTTGAATTTATAATACTTTTTTACTAAATTTGGAAGGTGCTTCAAATCTAATCATTTCTTCCTTTTATCGGAGATTGAGAATTCCTTTGTAATTTAGATTCGTTCGTAACGAAGAAATAAATTTTGGGGAATATAAAAATTTTTTGTAAAGTCAATATAAATAGTTAAAGGCAACATACACTTTTTTAAATGTAATTAATATAATAAATGGCCTGTTACATATTTATTATTGTTGAAGAAACTATTTGTCATTTTCTTTGATAAAATTTTTATTTCTTATGAACATATTGATGAATTTTTGATTCTACGATAAGTATAGTATAACAAATTAATATAAATAAATATATTTATTTATTTTAAACCGAATTAATAATAGTCCTTTAATAACTCTTTTTTTGGAGGGAATGATAAAGAAATATATAGAGATTTCGGTTTATAGTATCGTTTATTATTTTATATTACAGGAGGCAATATTGTAACAAACCAAATTTATTCTTTTTAACATTTTGTAATAAAAAAAGTTAGTGGCTATCTTAAAAATTAGTCAAAGTTTACCACAAGAATTTTAATTTATTGATAACATACAGTTATGATTATAAATTTAAATTTATAAATAAGAAAATAACAATAATAAAAAAGAGGATGCTAACTATTAACTTGCAATATCATGCCAGTTATAATTTGAACCGGAAGATCATTTTAAAATTCTCAGTTTTTTTTTCAGATTAGATCCAATTATCGGAAACGCACAAGCATCTACATTAAACCTTCAAGTTCGATACAAGGTTCTTCTTTCATGATAGTATATTTTTTTTTCAAAAATTTCCAATCGGATAGATACTTCGATTAACTTTCATTCTCTGCCGATTTGACTCTTTCATAATATACGATAACGATTATATAATCGTAAACACTTCGTAAATTTACACCAATTCGTAAAATTTGTCCAAAATAATCTAGAATACCATAAATTTTTGGCATATTATTTGTTGATCTCTAGCGCGTTGACATCAATATTTGTTGAGTTACTTTAAAATTTTGCACTTCTAAATTTTGTTGTTGACTTTCTTCATCTTGTTCATCTTTTGATTATCAAAGGAATTCTCTGATCACGTGCCGATATAATAAGCCAGGTATATTTTTTAGCACCTTTGCAGGTGAGTGAACAACATACAATTCCAAGGGTCTTTTCACTTCCAGTTCGTTAATTTCAACCTCTCTCTAGTTCATGTATATCTTTTGCTAATTGTTCGGCGTTATTGAAACCTTGGCTTCCTAGATGAAAACTTGTTGCATCACCCAAAGCTGATTTGATACCCAGTAGTTCTCTCCTCATGTTCTTATTATCTTTTTTTCAAATTATTAATATAATTTTCCTTTGAATGTAAGCTTGCCTCAAATTTTCGAACTGTAAATATAATTTAATAATCAGGCATGAATTATTTAATTCATGGGAGGTTAGGAATATTATGGTTTTTTTCCCGAAGGGAAAAACCCATGGTATTCCTAACCTCATGAAATAAATAATACTTATTATCTGCTATATATTAAAATTACTATAGATATAAAGATAGGATTAAAAGTAATAATCAATAAAGATGTAGATTACATTATACAGTATACCGTACCGTTGATTGAAAATATGGGAGGTTTGCTATTAATAGCAAATAATATGATCCGTAATAGCAAACCTCCCAAATCATCATATAAAAAACCACCATACTAAACTTTATATTTCTTTATACCTGTTAAAAAATTTTACTTAGAAGTATATCAAATATGATGAACAAGACAACAAAAGCATAAACATAATCACCTTCTCATTGGTAATTCTAATCCTCTTTTGAGGAATGCTAGAGCAATGTGGTATTGCATTTTGGAGAAGGTGGTGTTTTAACTATTATTTAGCGGTAACTGTAGTAATGTTGGGGAGATTCACAACTTTTTCAACTCCTTCATTCAATTTATTGCATTATTTTGCTCCACAAGATCAATCATATTTCTTACAATCATCTATAAAAATAAGAGATGCATTAGATAAAATTATTTTGTTAAATTACAAAAATTCTATCATACTTTCGTCTTCCAGGCTAACATATACTTTGGAGCCAATTCTTCAGAATGCCAATCATTCTTGTTCGATTAACCTGGCAAAAAAATCCTATTTATTGGAGATATCTTATCTTTTCCTCGTTCATATCCACAGCCATGCAAAGATTATCAAAGATATCTTTCATAATTTTTGGTGTTTTTTTATCTATCTCTTTCAGAGCTTTGTTCCATTCTCACCATCAAAGATCTTTCCTATGCATATTCAGTTGAGATATGCCGGAAAAGAAAATCAGCTCCATAACTAGAGATTGGAACTGATTAATTTATAACTGGTTAATTAACCAGTTAAAGCGGTAAACATGTTAACTGGTTAAAATAGATGAATTTAACTATGGTCGAAATTCAATTTGTGACCAAAATTAAGATAAACGAATATTTTAACAGGATATTAATTGGTTAAAGAATTTTTGGCCAGTTCCAATCTCTATCCATAATCTTTCGTTTTATTAATATAGTTGCATATTATTTCTTGCTGACGAGGCAGCGTTACATGACTCTACTCTGTTATGAAAAAGTCAAAAGATCAAATAATTTGAGGATAAAGTTTGTAATACACCATTATAAAAAGGTAATAGCGAAAACATTTCTTACCTTACAGCCTCTACTCCATCGGTGCATTCAAAACATCTATCAATGAAACACCATATGTGTATTAAATACTTAATTCTAAATGATTTTTTTCAAGATTCTTAGCCTCATATTCTCTCAACCTATAAAATAAAGTAAAGACAGGATGATTAAAGATCAATTGAATACCTAATTTAATTTTAATATCAAACAAAACTTATAGTTATAGATAGAATTTCGAACCCA